CGCGCGCGCGATGGACGACGCGCGGGATGTTGGTGGGTCGACGCGCGGCGGCGGCGGCGAGCGGGCTCGCGCTCGCGGCGGCGCCGGAGGCGGCGAACGCGGCGATGGAGGCGACGCGCGTCGCGACGGAGGTGGACGACGGTGGATTTCTTCAGGGCTTGTTGTTGATTTTGTTCAGCGAGATTGGGGATAAGACGTTTTTTATCGCGGTTTTGTTGGCGACGCAGGCGGATAAGAAGGCGGTGTTCGCGGGGACGTACGGGGCGCTCGCGGTGATGACGTTGATCTCCGTCGCGTTGGGCGGTGTGTTGCATCAGGCGGACGAGGCGATCACGTTCCAGAGTTCGATCCCGTGGGATGACGTGATAGCGGCGGCGCTGCTGCTGTACTTCGGCGTGACGACGATTCAAAAAGCGGACGGCGCGGAGGAAAGCGCGGAGGAGGAGGAGGCGGACGCGAAGGACGCCGTGGATGGCCTCCTGAGCGGGTCGTTCAGCGGTGAGATGGCGCTCGTCGCGAGCACGTTTGGCGTTGTATTCGCCGCGGAGTGGGGCGATAAGTCGTTCTTCGCCACGATCGCGCTCGCGGCAGCCGCGGATCCGGGCGCGGTCACCGCGGGGGCGCTCGCCGGTCACTTTATCGCCACCGCGGGCGCGGTTGTCCTCGGCGACGTGGTGAGCGAAAAACTCTCGGAGAAGGTTGTCGCGTACGTCGGTGGTTCTCTCTTCATCTTGTTCGCCCTCGGCACGGGCATCGACATCGTCCAAAAGGTTACGAGCGCTTAGTGAAGGATGAGAAGAAGAAGTCGCAAGCACTCTCGGAGACGAAGAAGAAGGACGGGAACGATGACGACGGCGAGGACGGCGAGGAGGCTGACAATGAGCAAATGCGTCAGTACGAGCGCGATCGTTTGCGTTACTACTACGCCATCGCCGAGTTCGATACCGTGAAGACGGCGATGGGCGTGTATCACGAGTGCGATGGGATCGAGTACGAACGATCGAGTTTTAAGCTCGATTTACGATATGTGCCAGATGACCAATCGTTTGAGGGCCGAGAGATTCGCGACTCGGCGGCGGACATTCCTCCGGATTACGAAGCGCCAGACTTCCAAGTGAAGGCTTTGCAACACTCTAACGTCAAGTTGTCCTGGGACGACGACGATCCCACGCGTAAAAAGACGTTCAGAAGGAAGATCACGGAGGACAACCTCAAAGATGAAGACTTCGCCGCGTACCTGGCGACGGATTCTGAATCCGAATCCGAATCCGAATCCGAAGAGGACGAAGAAGCAGCAAAGGCGGCAAAGAAGGCGTACTTGGCCAAATTAATCGGCAAGGAAGGTACCGACGACGGAGAAGACGGTGGAGGCGATGACGAAGAAGATGACTTTTTCCTCGACGAAGACGACGGGGAGGACACCGCGAAGGCTTCCACCAAAGCCTACAAGGAAAAGCGCGATAAAAAGAAATATGGCTCGAAATCTGGAACGGGGGACATGGAGGTGACGTTTCACGCCGGCCTCGAAGAGTTCGGCGCGCGCATTAAGAAGAAGCAGAAGGAAGGAAAGCTGGGCGTCAAGGAAACCGTGTACGAAAAGCAAGAGCGTTTGCGCAAGGAGAAGCGCGAAGCCAGGAGACTGGCCTCGAAGAAAGGCGACGACACCGAAGATGAGGGCGACGATGAAGAATTCGCCGATGGTGAAGAACCGGCCACATTCGACGATCCATTCTTCATGGATGATGGAGGAGACGTCGATTTCGACGCCGAGTACGATTCGGATGACGGTGCCAAAAAGGCAAAGAAGAAGACAAAGAAGAAGACGTTCCAAGATGACGACGAAGCGCCGAGTAAAACGAGCTTGAAGAAGGCGAAAAAGAATGCGAAGCGAAGCGAGGTCGACGAGAAGGCGCAGGCAGACTTGGAACTTCTCATGATGGACGAGAAACACATTTTAGGCAAATCGGATGGTATCTCAGCTCGTAAGACGAAAGCGAGCGTTGACGGCGAAGAACCCGCGAAGAAGAAATCGAGGAAGGAACGCTTGGCCGAAAAACGCCGCCTTCGTGGTAAAGCCGCTCGTAGAGCCGAGAGTGACGACGAAGACGACGGCGAAGGGGTCAAACTGGACACCGCAGATGATCGTTTCGCCGGTTTGTATGAGTCGCATCATTTCAGTCTTGACCCCACGGATCCGCGCTACAAAGATGTGCAGAACAAGAATGTCATCATCAATGAGAGGGATAAGCGGCGTAAGAGTAAAGTCGATGGTAAAAAGAGCAAGACACTCAGCGCGCTCGAGTCGGAGGCTAAGGAGATCGGATCTTCAGAACTTCAAAATATGCTTTCTTCTCTCAAGCGAAAATCTAAATCGAAAAAGTAGCGTTGTGAAATCTCATCAATTCGAAGCGACGACGTGCGTCCACGACTGTTGAAGCCCGTCAAATAGGTCACGTTCATCCTCTAAACCCACAGAGAGTCGAAGTAACCCAGGTGGAATATGTGGATGCACTTCTCCCGGCTTGCACTCGACGGAGTACCGATGTTCTATGAGCGACTCGTAACCTCCTAACGACGTTGCGCACGTCCAATGGCGCGTCTTCGACGCAAACAATCTCGCCAACTCGGCGGTCTTCAGCACTCTACTGCTATCGCTCGCGTTAGGATTCATTATGTAAAGCACGATCGATAACATCCCTCCGTACACTCCGTTTGGGCACAGAAGTTCAGCATGGGCGTCGTACGTGCTTTCACTGCTGCACCCACCGACAGCTTCTCCACGTCGCAAACCGGGATATAAGACGATACCACGAAGGGTTGTGCGCGGTCCGTTCCATTCGTCGAAGAGCTCTTGTAAGCGCTCGGCGATGTACATTGCGCTTTTACTTTGGCGACGCACGCGCACGTCGAGTGTGCGCATGCCTCGAGAAAGTAAATACGCATCGAAAGAGCCCATGGTCGGACCACTCATCTTTCTGTGGTGCAATATCTTCTCCCACGTCGCATCGCACTCCTTCGTGATCAGGGCTCCGGCGACGACGTCGCTGTGTCCATTCAGGTACTTTGTCGCCGAGTGCATGACGATGTGACAACCAAACTGCACGAGCGGCTGGCAACAAATCGGCGTCAACACCGTCGCGTCGACGCACACGCACCCGACGCCGCGTTGCTCCTGAACAATTTGCATCGCCTCTCCAATATCCGTGATGTCCCACGTCGGGTTCGCCGTGGGTTCGATCCAAATTAACCCAAACACTGTACTCGGGAACCGTTCCGCGAAAGCGCGCGCCGTTCGCGACAGCGACGTCCCCTCTTCCCTTCTCCGCGCATCCGCGCTCGACACCACCTCGTCTCCGACATCGCACGCGTACGAGCTCGGATCGTACGTCACCACCTCGATCCCTCGACTCGCGCAGTACTCGTTGATCTTTTGTCGAACCGCAAAGTATCCGCGTCTCGGCGCGAGCGCCGCCGTGCGCGTCCCGTCCGAGTCACCCAGCGTCCCCTCCAACACCGCCGTCACCGCCGCCATCCCGCTCGAGAACATCGCGCAGTCCTCACCGCGTTCGAGCGCGCGCAGGGTCTCCTCGCACGCTCGCACGGAGGGATTATCCGGTCGCGCGTAGCACAGCGCGCGTCCGCTCGGCGCTGGAAGTTCATGATTCTCATCCCGCGCGTACGTCGTGGACGGATACATCGGCGGCACGACGGAGCGCGTGACATCACGCGGGGTCGTGCGCGGGACCTCGAACGCGCGCTCGGCGCCCTGGGCGCACACCGTGGCCTGCCTCGGTGGCATGGCGCGTCGCGAAGTGCGGCGACGACGCGGACGCGAGAGCGCGCGGGCGCGCGCGTCGCGTCCAATCTCGCGATCACGCGTCATTACTGCCTACATAAACCACATGGAGGCGGTCTAGACCGCGCCGGTGCGCGTCGCGTCGCTATCGATGTCTACTCTATACTCGCGTTCGGGTCGGTTCGCGGCGGCGCGACGGCGTCGTACCAGCGCTCGCCCTCCGGGAGCTTAGCGTCCACGATGGAGCACGACATCGAGCGCAATCGCCTGCACACGTCGGGGTCTCGCATGTTCGGACGCGTGAACGGCTTCGTTCGGAACGACACAAAGTCTCCGTCGACGGCGAGCCCGCACGCGTCGGCTAAATCCGCCGCGTCTCGCGCGCGGTCCAGGCGAAGCACGCGCGCGAGCTCCTCGGTGGACATCGGCGTCGAGTTCATCGCCGCATTCATCACCTCCAACGCGCGCACGCGCACGTCCGGGAACATCCGTTCGAGTACGCACGCGTGTTCGTACGCGCACGCGTCGCTCTCCACGAGCTCGAAAAACCGTCGATGGTTCCCGTGACCGAGCGCGTTGAGCACGCGCACCCCGATCGCGCTCCCCCCCGCCCCCAGGTCGTACATCCGTCTCAAATCACCCGCCACGCGTCCGATTCCCTCCGTCCCCACCTCCCTCGCCCGCGCGCACAAAAACAACGACGCGAACTCGCCCGCGCGCGGCGTCCGCCCGCCGCGCGCGCGATGCGCCGCGCACAGCATCCCAAGCGTCTTCGCCCCCTGTTCTTCCCTGAGCGCCGCCTCGGCGTCACACCACCCGTCGTCGTCTCGTCGAATCGCCCGTTCCCTTCGCGCGTCGTGCGTCACCATGCGTTCCAGCGCCGCCGTCGCGCGCGCCGCGCCCGCCGGATCCGCGGCGTCCATCCAAAACCTCCCCAGATCCTGTCGCACCGCCCGCGCGCGGTCGTCCACGAACGCCCGCATCGCCCGGCGTCCGTCGCCCGCGCGCTCGGCCGCGACGCTCACCGCGAGCGTGGTTTCGAGCGCGTCTTCGATCGCGCGCATCGATCGAGGCGGTCGTGGACGTTCGCCCGCGCACGGCCGCGCGTACCGCTCCACGGCGTCGCGCGCGCGGGCGAGGACGTCCGCGGCGTCGCGCGCGTCGACGTCGACGTCGTCGTCGTCCATCGCGCGCGCG